GCCTGCATGAACACATACAAACATGCATACAAACAATCAAACGTACATGCGTGCGTACATACACCCATACGTACATGACTGCGTTGGCGGTTCGCGGCATGCGCCTTGGCCCTGGGAGTTTGGCATGCAGGCGGATGAGCAGGAAGGTAAAAAACAATCCGCGCCGTTTCCAGCATCGTCGTTGGAATAATGCTATCCGCCATCCATCATTGTGTCCCTACCTGGCGAATGATTCTCCATTCTCCTCAGCTCTCTGCGGAGGTTTCTCCTTGAAGAGCCTCTTGGGGGCCTCACGAAGTGCTTAAAGGATTATTGGGCGTTCTGGAGGCCTCCTGGACGCCTTCCAGGGGCCACCCTGTTTCCTCGGGGCCTTCCTCGGGCCACCCTGTTTCCAACCGCGGTCTCCGTGAACGACCAAGTCACGACTTGGAATGCATCGGGAGGTGTCTTGGGGCCACCTTGGCACGTCGTAGGTCTCAATTGGGGCTAGGATATGCGTCGTGTCGGGCGTTTTCTGGCCACACTGCTCGGGAAGCGATACGTAACGATATACTACAAGATGGGTATACTATATGTTTGGGTCGGACGCGCGCCTCCAAGGATAACATACAGTACTAGTATGTTTTGTGCGTCCCATCTTGGGGCACTCGCGAGAGCCGCTCGGCCACCCTCCTTACCGATGTGGGCCCGCTGCCTCTGCCCAGCGGGGGTTGCACGGAGCCCCGGAAGACCTTCTGCAGGGGCGTCCTGGGCCCCCCTGGGGACCACGGGTCCAGGGGGGCATGGTTTTTGTTGGGGGGAGGGGTCCCCCCCCCCCGATTGCAAAAATATAGCAAAGGGAGCAGACACACATGTATGCATACATACCTACCTGCATACATACATATATATATATATATATATATATATATACATACATACATACATACATATAAATACATACATGTATCGTAGCACCCCGCAGTTGCGGATAAGAGTGAGGGGGCGGCGAGGACGTCGTCAGTCTGCGAGGCTCTGAAGAAGCCCGCCGCACGCGCCTAGTTTTCACAAATTATGCAGTGAGCCCGCCGCAGGCGCCGATTTCTTCGTTAAAGAAATCAGGGTGGATCGCGGGGTGGGTCGCGGGTGAGTCGCGGGTTGGTCGCGGGTGGGCCGCGGGCCGGGTCGCGGATGGGTCGCGTATGGGTCGCGGGCCGGGTCGCGGGTGGGTCGCGGGCCGGGTCGCGGGGTGGGTCGCGGGTGGGTCGCGGGGTAGGTCGCGGGGTGGGTCGCGGGGTGGGTCGCGGGGTGGGTCGCGGGGTGGGTCGCGGGGTGGGGCTCGGGGGGGGTCGCGGGTGGGCCACGGGTGGGACGACGACAACAAGCGACAACAAGCGACAACAACAACAACAACAACAACAACAACAACAACAACAACAACAACAACAACAACAACGCAACAAGTATAATCCTCACCACGGTTTCCCACTTCAGCCACGCACCCAGGGACAATGAACGACCGTTCGCCCCCGTCATTCTGACATATGCACACTAGAACCACGCGCGCGCTTCGCGCGCGCTCAGGTTCTAGCAAGCGCAGGCGCTTGACAATACCACGGCTGCGCGCATTGACAAACTCACGGCTGCACGGATGCACGTACCGACGAATGGCTTCAGCATGTTTTGCAAAATCAACATGGGCCTGGCCCCAGCAGAGAAGGGTCTCTTGGGCGCCGCTGGGGTCTCTGATGGGGGCATTTTTAAGCCTCTTGGGGGTTCAGTTCTTCATACCCTAATGGAATCGATAGGGTTCGTCGAGCGCTTTGGGGGGCCTCTGGGCACCTCTTCGAAACCCTAGTGGGCCGTGGCGAAACAACGACGCAGACGAAGACTGACTGAGCGGGACACACATGCATGCTGACTGCAGGGACGCAAGTGAAATGATACACGGTGTGAGAAGGTACCCGAGAACTCACCTCCCCGGGCGCTACCCCGACGACCGCGTCTCGCGGTCAGGCATGCGCCCAAGACATTGCGGGTTCATCCTTGAACGCCCCCCGGGGACCCCCCCCTTGACCGCGTCTCGCAGCCGGGGGGGCACCTCGGGACACCGCCGCTTCAACCTTGAGCGCCCCCTCGGGCCCCCCCCCCTTTACCGCGTGTCGCGGCCGGGGGGGCACCTCGGGACACCACGGCATCGACCTTGTGCGCCCCCCCGGGCACCCCCCCGTGACCGCATCTCGCGGCCGGGGGGGCACCTCGGGACACCACGGCTTCAACTTTGAGCGCCCCCCCGGCCCCCCCCCCCTTGACCGCATCTCGCGGCCGGGGGGGCACCTCGGGACACCACGGCTTCAACCTTGACCGCCCCCCCGGCCCCCCCCCCTTTGACCGCGTCTCGCGGCCGGGGGGGCACCTCGGGACACCACGGCTTCAACCTTGAGCGCCTCCCCGGGCGCCCCCCCTTGACCGCGCCTCGCGGCCAGGGGGGCACCTCGGGACACCACGGCTTCAACCTTGAGCGCCTCCCCGGGCGCCCCCCCTTGACCGCGCCTCGCGGCCGGGGGGGGCACCTCAGGACACCACGGCTTCAACCTTGAGCGCCCCCCGGGCACCCCCCCTTGACCGCGTCTCGCGGCCAGGGGGGCACCTCGGGACACCACGGCTTCAACCTTGAGCGCCCCCCCGGGCACCCCCCCTTGACCGCGTCTCGCGGCCGGGGGGGCACCTCGGGACACCCTGGAAGTAAGAGAGGTGTCACGGGCGACGGGACGGGCCACGAATGGCCCGCCCCATCGCCAGGCGACGGGCCGCGAAAATGGCCCGCCGCCCAAAACCACGCTCCCCATGGAAGGGGTAGACGGCGCCTTGGGCACCAATGGCGCTCGGAAGGACTTCGTTGGTCGTGAGCCCGTCGCGACAAAACCGAATCGGGGAACCTTCGAAACGAAGACGCAGTGGGCGGGGGGGGCCAAATTCGAAACGCAGCCCCCCCCGCCAGACGCAAAGCACTTCCCGCGTCGCCCCCCAGGCCGCGCGCCCAGCTGACGCCTGCCGTTTCGAAGCTGTTGTCGAACATGCTGAGTGGGGGGAGGGGGGGGGCCCTAAGCGCTTTGCGCCCGTGCCCCCCATTAGCACCCCCCCCCGCCTGGCCTCGGTTCCCAGGCTCGGGGGGGCTGGGGAAGCACGACCCCCCGGGGTCACCAGGCAACGCTCCCTGTGGGTTCCTGGTGCCCCGGGGGGTCCTACACCCACTGAAAAGCGAAGACGAAATACGCGGCGCGACCCCAACGTGATCGGCTCGGTTCGTTAAGCTGAAAAATAGGATGTGCACCACGGTCCTCGTCTTCCTCCTTTTCCACCTCCTCGTACACCTCCTCGACCTCTTCACTCCTCCTCCTCCTCCTGCTCCACCTCCTCCTCATCATCATCATCATCATCATCATCATCGTCATCATCATCATCATCACCATCATCACCATCATCATTATCATCATCATCATCAGCATCATCATCATCATAATCATCATCATCATAATCATCATCATCATCATCATCAGCATCATCATCAGCATCATCATCATCATCAGCATCATCATCATCATCCTTCCTCCTCCTTCTCCTCCTCCTCCCCCTCCTCCTCCTCCTGACCATTGTGGTTCGAACTGATCTCGGCCATTTTGCCCTTCTCTTGGGGCCGTCGTGAGTCCTGGGGCCTAATCAACAGGAGGGCAACGGGTGAAGCCGCCACCGTGCCTGTGTTGTGGGTCAGAAGCAGATTGGATGCTTGTTGGGGTCTCTTGCGAAGCTTCCGCAGAACATTTTCGAAGCAATTCTGATGTTTCGTGGGGCTCGTCCGAAGCTGCTTGCGAACTGTAGGGGCTTCTTTGGGCCTTCAGTGGGCTTCGTGGGGCCTCTGGAGTGCTTCTTGGGGGGAGGCAATTTTGAAATGTTTCGAAGCCTCCGGGGGGCCGTTTTGGGGCATCTTGGGGCCTCTTTGGGGTCTCTGATGGGCCTCTTGGGGGCCTCTTGGGGCGGAAATATCCATTGTCGGTTCGTGTTCCCCCTCTTTGGCACCTCCTGGGGCCGTCTTGAAGCCCTCTTGGGCCGTCTTGGGCGCTCCTTGGACCGTTTGGGCGCCCTCTTGGGCTGTCTTGGGGGCCTCTCGGGGGCCTTTTGGGCCGTTTTGGGGCGATGTTCGAGGCTTCCTCGGCAATCTTGGAAGGTCAGAAGCCCGAAAACGCGGGCAAGCAAAAAACATTGAAAACACAATGAAAATATATGATGTTAGCCTCTTGGGGCTCTCTTGGAAAGCCTCTCGGAGCGCCCCTGGGGCTTCTTGGGGGCCCCTTGGGCCTTGATGGGGCTATCTTGAAAGTCTTGGAGCGCTCTTGGGCCGTCTTGGCGGCTTCTTGCCGTCCCCGGAAGCCGTGGTGGACGCCTCCGGGGGCGCAAAAGAGCCTCCGGACGCCCAGGGGCAACGTGGGTCACGGGGGGGGGGAGGGGAAATTCGGGAGGGTGTCCCGGCCCGGGGCCCTGGCCCCCGGTACCCCGGTATATGGTATATACATATAGAATCGTACTCGGTCGGTCATCTCCCTTTAGCGGGGGAGGAGGCCGGCGGCAGCCAACTCAGAAGTCGCAGCAGCAAATGCATCAGAAGGAGTGCTTGCAAGGGTACTCTGGGAAAGTGGACCCGCCCTCAGGATTCGATCGAAGTCATCGACTGAGCTCGCAGAGATCAGGCCTGAGACACACGAGAAGAAGTCCAGGGCTTCTTCCAAGAAGCGAGAAAGAAATACGCAGATGTAGAGATACAGCCAGCAAGAGGCATGAACGACGTGCAGGAAGAACGAAAGAGAGAGAGAGAGAGGGCAACCGAGAGGCGGATGTGTGCAGAGGCGCAGACAGAGGGGTCGTCGGAGCGGGAGGGGCATCGAAGGCACCCTGCTAGGGGCGGGGCGCGGAAGAGGGCGAGGCACCCCCGAAGCCAAGGGGCGGCCGGGGGCCGAGGGCCGGGCACATCTCCAGCATGCCGACGTCGCCGAACTTGGCCGCGACGTGGCCGATGGACCACCCCAGCGGGTTGACGAACCCGTCGCCCGCCGCGCGCATGTAGTCCTCGACGATGGGCTCCCGGGAGGCGGGAGGAGAAGAAGGAGGAGGAGGAGGAGGGAGGAGAAGGGGGATTGATGATGATGATGATGATGCTGATGATGATGATGATGATGGTGATGATGATGGTGGTTGATGATGATGCTGATGCTGATGCTGATGCTGATGCTGATGATGATGATGCTGATGCTGATGATGATGATGATGCTGATGCTGATGCTGATGCTGATGCTGATGCTGATGCTGATGCTGATGCTGATGGTGATGATGATGATGATGGTGATGGTGATGATGATTGATGATTGATGATTGATGATTGTTGATTGGTGATTGGTGATTGATGATGATGATGATGATGATGATGATGATGCTGATGATGATGATGATGATGATGATGATGATGATGATGATGATGATGATGATGATGATGATGATGATGATGATGATGATGATGGTGATGGTGGTGATGGTGATGATGAGGAGGAGGAGGAGGAGGAGGAGGAGAAGGAGGGAACAGGGGGAGGCCGATGGGGGAGGGCAGGGCGAAGCCAGAAAGCAGTCTCAGCTCGCAGGACTCGGGATGCAGGGAGGGGGGGGGATCCTGGGAGGCCGCGGGGTGAAACTTCCTGCGCGTGAGCCAATTGAGGAAGAGGTCCGCATCAACCCTCTCCTCGGGAAGCGTCGGCCGTCAATGCGGACCTCCCGTGCTTCCACGTGGAGCTATGTGGGAGGAGGGAGGACGAGGGGGGAGAGGAAGAGCAGAAGGAGGACAAGGAAGAAGAAAGAAGAAGGAAAAAAAGAAGAAGAAGAAGAAGAAGAAGAAGAAGAGGAGGAGGAGAGGAGGAGGAGGGGGAGGAGGAGGAGGAGGGGGAGGAGGAGGAGGAGGAGGAGGAGGAGGAGGAGGAGGAGGAGGAAGAGGAGGAGAGGAAAGAATGTGTTGCTCGATGCGCGAACCCCGCTGTGCTGAGCATAGGACGCACGGCCAGCGCCGTGTGCGTTCGCTCAGAAAAGAAAAGACAGGGCATGCGCCGCGGCGAGCGGCCTCAGATGGCGACGCCGCATTCCAGGCGGGTGGCAATGGGGGGCGACCTGCATGGGGGGTGAAGAAAAAAACCTAAAGGGACCCTCTAGGGCCCTGCTAGGGCCCCTGCTGGCTCCAAAAGCGGCCCTAAGGGCCCCTTTACGGCCCTGTTTTTCCCCCCCCCCCTTTTGGGGTCACCTTGTCATTGCCACCCGCCCGAACATTACCGCTGCTGCTGGAGCCGTCCGGCAAGACGAGGAGGAGGAGGAGAGGAGGAGTGGAGGGGAGGAGGAATGGAGGAGGAGGAGGAGGAGGGAGGCGGAGGAACAGGAGGAGGCGGGGGGAGGAGGAGGAGGTGGAGGAGGAGGAGGAGGAGGAAGTAGGAAGGAGGAGGAAGGAGGAGGAGGGAGGAGGAGGAGGAGGAGGAGGAAGGAAGGAGGAGAGGAGGATGAGGAGGGCGGAGGCGGAGGAGGAGGCGGAGCGCGGAGGGCGGAGGAGGAAGAGGAGGAAGGAGGAGGAGGAGGACGGAGGAAGGAGGAGGCGGAGGAGGAGGCGGAGGAGGAGCAGATCTCCCCGAGTGCGGCGCTAATATGGCCAGCTCGCCCTGGGGGGGCCGGGGCCAACCGTGGCCTCGTGGGCCCCGCCGCCGCGGAGGCCCCGCCCCTCCCCAGACGGGGCGGAGCGGCAGAGTCAGGCCGGGCAGGTGCTCCCACAGGCGGGTTATATGGGAGAAGGCCAACGAGCAGCCCAGCAGAAGCCGACAGCTAGGCAGAAAAGAGCACGCGCAGATCGTCCCCAGACTGCTCGTGTTGCCTCGTCCCCAGACCCCCGACGTCGTGATTTTTTCATGACGTCGACCCCCCGAGGTCTGGACCCATTCCCCGGGGCCGGTTTTTCGTCCTGAGTCGTTTTTTGACGGGCCCGAGGGCCGGTAAGGGCCCCCGGA